CAACGGTTGGGTTAGTCCATATTTGACCCAAAGTTGGGTTGAAACAACCCAGCATTTTTTAGAGTGTATAGAAGTGTTTTGGTTATAGAATGTGAGCTGTACATTAACGTGCATTAGCCATTGATTGTGTCAACTGTTACGTGGTTCAGCTATCCCTTACCAAAAAGTAGTATACTTCAAGTTTATTTTAGTAAGTATACTTAAGTAAAGTTCAAAAGACATCTGAAAGTGTAGTGCTTTTTGCATTCTCGGTCAGTGTAAAGGTAAGATTGTCTGGGTGTGAAATGCTGATACAGCATACTCTCAAAAAGACTCCGCTGCTGAAATGCATTAATTTTTCACTTCAGCATTTAAGAAGACAAAATTAACTAAAGGTTTAGTGCTTTAGCATATCATTTTCCATTATCAGTGTTTTATGCACTTTCTGCTTAATGTCAAAAACAATTAATAGTTTTAGAACAAACTGCAGGGCCACTTGACTTTTGAGCACCATTTCAGAAGTTTCCTGTGGTTTTTAAACATGCCATAACTAATTTTACATGTAAAGCTTTAACTTATTTTGACAAACAGAAGTGTTTGGAAAGTTAGTTTTAAATTTTGCATAGTGTATAAATGTAAATAGAAAATCATCCTAGAGTTTAATAACTGCAAAAGAATTAGAGAGCAATAGATTTTCAACAACAAATCAAACCGCAGAGTATCAAAAGCAGCTGTCATTTGTGCACTGCACGTTTACACATGACAGCATTCCTCTATAATTTATTTCAGATATATGCATAATGTTGTTTATAAGTTTAGTTTTTGCTTTTGATTTGTGCTTTTAGGTGATCCACACTGATTTTTGGGTGTATATGTATACATACCTTCAGAATCACAAAGATGAAACCAGGGATGCACAGTAGCAACATTACAGCACACACAATGAGAACAATCTTCACACGAGGATCTTCTGGGCACTTTTTATCTTCTTTTTCTTTTTCTTTTTCTTCTTCTTCTCTTTTTCTTTCTCCTGTGTCGTTGTATTTTTTTTCCACTGATTTTTCCACGATAGAATAGAAATTCAAGGCCAGAGAATTAGAGCTGTCCTCTATGTTGTTTTTCATTCAGTATTAATTAAAAAAAAAAGTACTGTACTTCTCAATCTCTGCATCTAAATAGAAGTTTTCCATTTACATAGTTTACGTACTAAATAAATGCATTACATTAAGACCACAGTAAACCCATCATGTTTGATAATGAAATTATTTACATGAAGTGTAAGACACACTTACCTATCCATAACCATGTGACCGGGCTAACTGTAATTTTATCTTCCAAATTAAATTCACACCAGTAAAGCCCAATGTCTGTGGTATTTACATTTGAGAAGGTGGCATTAATGTTGGGAATTTTTCCATCTACATGGACTTTGGATTTATACATTGTTGATTTAGGGGTAAAAGTGTTGTCTTTGTAATAGTAGAAGACTTCCTGCTTATTTTTACTTGCTACTTGTTTGTACATGTACACCCCATCTTGAGGGGTTTTATCAATAGCGCACTGGATGATGATCTCATTACCAACAGCTCCGGTTAAAGTTGTAACTGTGTTTGAAAAAAAAAACAACAACAATAACAACTAATGAGACCTTAAACACTTAAATACACTGATACATTTTTAGGCAATAGTGCATCTTAAATAATTTTTGTAGCAACATGTACAGACATGAAAACACAAATAAAGTAGTCTTTACAGCTTTTCATTTACATAAGTGTGCTCAATTGTCTTTTCTTAACTGCAACATTTCTACAAAAATAAATTCTACTGCAGAATCTAGCATACATGAAAGTAACATTTTTATATGTTGAAATGGAAAGCAAAATGTATACATAAAAAATATACAAAATATATATATTCATACCTTGCACCATTGCATCTGCCCATGTGGTGCTTCTTAAACAGATACTGATCAATAGAAAACTGTATCTCACAACACACGCCATCTTCACAGCTCTGTGTGAATATATAGCTTCTGTTGAACAACATCTAGTGGAAGTGGTGGTCGCATACAGAGTTTATATGAAACTTTTTTTCTCAAGGAAGTTGAGAAGCAAGTGGTGTTGCATTGTAATTGCAGAATGTTAGCTTAGAATATAGATATATAATATACAATAAATAGTCTCACTTGACAACTCACAAAACAGTTTGTAACAATGTGACACAAGTAGCCTAAACCTAAACAAGTCATTAATGATAACATGAGTCCACAAAATTGATTTTCAGGACATTGAAATGCTGTTTACAGTCTAATACTGAATGTTTAAATTTTCCTATTTATTTATGTATTTCTTCAATTAGGATGTTTTATGTATTATATATAAACTTGTGTGGAGTGTTGAAACAGTTTAAATAATTGAATGTATTTCTGTAAAAGGATTTAATATGTGTCTCCAGTTGTGTCTTCACCTCATGATCATTTGTATATAAGTTCATATGTGTTCCTTAGTTTGTCTGGTCTCGTCAATATTATGGTTGTGTTTGGTTTGCCTGCTTTGTTTGGATTCTTTTCAGTGTGGATCATTAAAGACCTCATCTACTTCTTTGTATGCTTTTAACATCCAAGTTGATTAACTATATGAAATGATATAAATATATACAGTGGTGTGAAAAAGTGTTGGCCCCTTCCTGATT